CGTTTCTTTTTTTTTCTTTTAAAATAATTGTGAAGAAAAAAATCCTGAACTTATGAAAAACAATATTCAAGAAAATAGTTACTACAAGATGAATATTTTCTGAAAAGTGAGCTTATTCATTCTGATGACAAGAAAACTCTGTGCTTACTTTGACTGAACTGTTGTGTTCTGTAATATCTTCAAGACACTGCCCTGTTTCTATGTTCCATACCTACATGTATCAATTTGCAAGTATTAAATCTTGAACAGAGTGAAGTTCTATGATTTTTTTCATCCTACAAAATATATCAATTAATGATATGTGCATGTACCTTTTTAAAAAATTTATAAAATACAGTCTGAATCTTAGTTTAACAGAGTAGTACACATACCTCAGTTTAAGATAATTAAAGAACATGGAATCCATAATTATATCAAAATATCACATCCCTGCATGGGTTACTCTAGTACCATTGTAACACACACACAAACTCAAATATGAAAAACATATGCAAACTATAACAGATTACCTTGATGTGTTTATCAGATGCTCCAGTAATCAATAGTATATCATCATAACTTCCTGGCTCTGGTTTAAGTAGCAGTATACAATTGATGGGGAGTTTGTGTCCAGAGAAAACATTCAATTTACGACCATCCTAAACATCAGCACAAGAAAATTGAAAGTTGCTTTGTGTAACAAGTTTGCAGATAAAATTAAAGGTTAAAGGAAAATTATGTATCTCCTTCTGATGTTTCTTTTTATGGTCTTTGGAATGCTATATTTTAAATGCTAAAAACAATAAACAAAATATCTTTCAGGTCAAACAAAATAATAAGATCTAGTGATTTGAAATAAAATAACAAATTAATGTGATACTGGTATTTTGTCAGCAAATATCTTAAAAGATATAAAATAGGTCTGTGTAAAACAGATACTTTCTTGTACTATGTATGTCTTTACCTCTATATCCCATAAAGCTGCTGTGCAGTCATCTCCAGCAGAGATACACCTGAAATGGAAATTTATAACACTTTCAAATTTGGAAAATATTGTCATCATCTCAACTCTCAGTAAGTCTCAAATTATTTGCAGGAAAACAATCAGTTGACAGGTAGCTTAAACTCAAAGTAAGATAGATGGACCCAAGTTACCTGTGGTCATCTACCTTGACCAGAGCTCTGACAATGTCTGTGTGGTGCTGTAATATCAGAACCTCTCTGTACAGGTTACATGGCTGGGCATCCTCAACCATGTCCACATTCTTCTGAAAATATATACAAAAAACTTCAGTACAGGTATAAGGATTTAGTCAAACTTCTACACAGCATGTTGGTTGTGGACATTCTGTCATAAATACATAATAAGTCCTTATCATGATAATAATATCCAAAAGAACCAAGAACGTAGTCTCCTGTTCAAACTTCTAACTAGAATAAGAAGTCTGATGATTGGATATATTATGTAGAAACAAAATCTTTGTTTCTGACAACAGTCTCCAATGTCACCTATCAGTTTTCTTTCTTCATACTTAAACCCAGTGATATAATTATAATGGATTCAGTGAACTGCTACTCTAACTGCCACATATAGTGTAGATAGGAAATTTACCACCAAACTATTCAGCAGCTGCATATCTGATATTTCAAGCATGGCCATTGTCAACAGCTGTCATTTCCTTCAATGCTGCTAGTCAGTCTCACCTCACTGTAAAGCACAGTGGGTAATAGCTCAACACAAAATTAGACCTAGTTTCTTACACTACTAACATCTAGCCAAATGCTGTGTTAAATAGGCTAACTGACATTTTGAGTGAATAATTTACCTATCACATATCTTGCTTTATTCCCAATAACCGAATTACACATTAAATTAACAATTATCACATTTTATCAATTATCAAGAGCAGTCTCCACACACTGACCTCATTGTCAATACATGTAACTAAGTTTTAATCTAAATAACAAGGGTCACAACCCTTGGAAGCCGTTTTCATAATACTGGTATCTATCATATACATATATGAATATCTATATGGGCCACTGCAGAGATGAGGGTTAACACGTTGATAACACAGATAACTGAACACCACCTTTTATCAAAATAGGTTTAGCTGTGGATAAACCACTGGCTAAGGCTAAGAATGCTGAAAATTAATAAAAATGTGTGTGTCTACACACCTAACACCCAAACCCAATATAGAGGTGCAACTGATGTCACAGGCATGCTCTTAAAATATTTAGTGCACAAATTTCAAACTATGTCTGATTATTTAAGGGTCCCACGTGAAGAAGTTCATATCAAAGTTTCATTCCCCAGGAACCATGATTAATAAAAAATAATTCAACTTCTATCCCCAAAAAGGAACATATGTTACTGTCACAAATACAAAACGTTCAACTCTGAAAATTTACTCACTTTGAAAATTCAATCATTACTGGATTTTGTTCTTTGATCTATCTCCTACAAGTATAACCTTGTAAAAAATTATAATAATCTTTTGTATGGAGCAATTAATTGTCTGAGAGCTACTTTACTTTGCTTGTCACCGAATATTAAAAAAACAGGGAAAATACACCCTACCAACAGCAAAATAAGCATAAAATAAATTATTTTTCCCATCGTGCTCCAAATATTATATAAGAAATGTCAAACTATCATGGAATCACAATATATTTTTCGGTCAGCAAAAGCACACCAAGTGCTTAAACATAATGAAACATTGTAACAATTTTTCTAGGGAACATAAGTTACCTAGTATTAGCCATGACACAAAGCCCCTTGATAGTTTTTTATTTATAAAAATGTCCTGACGTCATGTCTAATTTACCATGACTGAACCACTACAAAATATATCGGAATGTATGTTTTTGGAACATATGTTACTATTTAGGGCTCTTTCCGTAATGTAAAAGACATGGTAAAAATTAAAATTTAAATTGAGACAATTGTGGATTTTTGTTCTATACAAGTTTTAAAAAATTGAATAAAACTTTGAATTCATTCAATTTTATTTTTTGACACTTCAACATATGAAATGCACCTTTGGGTTTGGGTGCTAAATGTATACTGATCCTAGACAAAGTCTACATTGAAAGTCTTTAAAGCCCTCACATACAAGACATACTAGTTAAAGTTTATGTTCACAATAATATTAATTTATTGGAGGAATATTTTTAAAGGTTACAATCCATCTACCGAGCCTAACTTCAATCTTGGCAACATTGTTATATTGAAAGCTATGAAAAAGTCCCACGCACAGAGCCCATGCAAAGTTATATTTTAATTGTGATGGATTATATTGTGTATCTATTCATCTCATTCCCAATACAGTTTTTACTAATGGTCTGTCCTCATTTTGATTCCATTGGTCTCTGTAACTTACTTTGATGTATGCAAATGTATATTGAATTCAATTTTAAAAAAATGTTTATAGGGTAATATTGTGATTTACAGGAAATTATATGTATTATTATCATTAATCAATTTAATACAGTGATCACGTACATTATTGTCATTGTACAAGTCTTTGAGAGCACTGCATAGAAACTCACTATTCTAGCTCTATTCTTATCATGCTTTTGCCATTTTCACTAGTTACTAAAGCGGCTAGCAGAGATTTTGACAGCTTAGAGGTACATATATAATCTGTTCATCGATACTTTACATTGTATGATGAATGTTCCCATTGCCTCTGTCGCTTGGCTCACTTATAGCCTTAGATGCTTGGTAAGAACTAGCACGAAAATTCATGCCACATAAAATATTGACGATTCTGATATGTACTGTCTGTGCTAGGTAAGAACATGCTTCTTGAGCACAAAGTTTGACACGTAAGCACTTTCTTTACCATGTCAGAAACCGTGCTTAGGGGTGTGTGATAATGCGTGCGTAGCTAGCAGCCCTAGAAGCTTTTAAAGTCTTTAAACAAAACAGCCATTTTCACATAGAATGGTGTAATTAAATAACATAAAATTATATTTGATGTCTTAATGCGTCAATTTCTGTAAAAACCTTGCAGTATATTCTGTAGTAATGAGAAATATTCTGAATATTATTCCTTGATACTTAGTAAACAAACTAACTTGCAAACCTCTTAACCCGGAAGTGCGCACTGCTTCAATTTGAAAAACAGCGCACCTCGTAAAGCTCTCTTGAGAAACGAGACTTTGACAAATTATGTCAACAAAAATAACCACACGTGCGGTGGCCTTGCATGTTGGCAGGAAAGCTACCATGTACTTGGTAGGGTATTTACTTCACGTTTGATATCCAGAAGCTAATAGCAACACAATGTATGAATGACTTTGCCCTTTGTCTAGTATTAATCCTGGCATTTTGGTTCGCAAGTGGGGGAATAGACTAGACGGGGAAGTATTTGTGTTTACACAGGATGTTGTCTTTTTTTCAGGGCTCGGGATTTTAGATTGAAGTTATATATCTACAGCTATCAACCTGAGTTTATGCCATCTTTCAATGCAGAGCTGAAAAATGTCTGATGACGAATCTGAGGACTGGAGCCTCCCAGTAGAAGGAGAGGCTGGAGGAGGAAACGCTGCATTCTCTTGCAGCAGTAGCAAGCCCAGTTCTTCTGGTAAATATATGTGTACATGTGGTATTAACTACTGTATATGGATATAATAGTCACTTTTTACTTAAATGAAGAAAGTCTGATTCAATTATTTAGTAACATCTCTTACAATGGTCTAACATTTTTAAAGAATTTAATTTTTAATGGGTTTATTTCTTTTTGCTGAACAAATACTAATTGAAATTATTATAATAATATGCCATTGTGTGTAGTTAAATTGTTTGCAGGGCCATCAGAGGTTTTGTTCTGAGGAAAAGTTAAACTTCTGTTACCTTTCCACATTGTTGTTTGCTTGTTCATGATATGTAGTCACTGTTGTTGACAACTATCACTGGCGTTATGTACTATGCTGTTTTGGGGAAGGCTTCTATTTTTACATTATTTAATGTTATTAATATTATAAGTGCTGTGTTTATCTCTTTAGGATCCCTTAGTATTTGCCCAGATAATCATGCAAGGACTATCATTCACATCGACATTGACTGTTTTTATGCACAGGTTGAAATGTTAAGGAATCCAGAGCTAAGAACAAAACCTTTGGGTATGTATGCAGAAAATGAAGTTTCACTAGACAATTACATTAAAATTGTAATGTCGAATGAGGTACCAGAAGGTGTATGTTTTTCAACAACAATTAACGGAGAGAAAAGTATCATGAATAGAACTATCTGTTAAAAAGCTCGCTCATATTTAAATACTTCTATTTTATAGGCATTCAACAGAAGAACATAGTGGTTACGTGTAACTATGTAGCACGTGAACGTGGTATATCCAAACTGAGTTATATTAAAGATGCTGAGAAGAAGTGTCCAGATATTGTTCTTGTCAACGGGGAGGATCTGACACACTACAGAGAAATGTCATATAAAATAACAAGTATGTTTAAAAAAATAACAAAAAAAAAAATAATAATAAATAAAAAAATAAATAAATAACAAGTATGTTTAAAAAATGGTATGAATTTGTATTAAGCACAATCCAAGAATCTAAGGTATATTAAAGTTGCATTAGTACATATGAAAAGCCTATAAGGCTTACTTGCCCCCTTTATAAACATACTAATACCATGTCTGGTGAACCCTCCGTCCAAAACTTTGCAGATAAAAAGTCTTCCAAATTGTTTTATTAACTAGACTGACTTGTAGAGAGTCTTACTTTGCCCTTGTGAATTCATAGTTAGATTTTTTAAAGGTACATACGAACCGAGCATCGGTGGATAGTGGATTCCCAGTAACACATGTAAACCACTTCTACTAGATTCTTATAAGGCTCAAATAAATTCGACATGCCAAGGGATAAACTGAATAGATCACTCGATCAGCCATAAAAGAGCTTTAGACTGCTCCTTTCTTTAAATTTATGGTTGTAAATTTAACCTACTTCCGTGACCTACTTTCCTGCCCCATTGACATACAGCTTAGAATGCCAGCAGAAAAATCTGTTCAAACATCATTTTTGGGTAAAATTAAACAATGGTAATTCTCTTAGTTATACTCCTTGAAACTATATGCTGGCATTTGGTTGGTTTTTGTGACAAAAAATTGACTTTGTATGCATCTTTAAAGTAAACTAGATTTTGTTGATAACAAGTTATTCATATGCAAGACAGCAGATGCTAGTTAAATATAGTGCTGTCAGCTTTGAGAGATTTAGTACACAGTCATTTATGAAGTGTAGTATTCTGCTATTTATTTTTTGTTAGATTTTCTGTTGAAGTACACGCCTAAAGTGGAACGACTTGGTTTTGATGAGAACTTCTTGGATGTCAGTGATATGGTGAGAACGAGATTAAATGACCCAAGTACCAAAGAAGAAGTAAAAGGTCACATTTATGGCCAAGGGCAAAAAGATGATGCTGGTAAGATTAATTTGGAGTCATTTCATAATATTTTCTTGTTAAGCGTTTCTCCTTTCTCTTGTACTTTTTGCAAACAAACACTATATGCACTTATATTATAAACTGTCTATGCACTAATAATTTTTGTCGCTTAATCCTTCTGGACCATTAGAATGAAGAAGTTGAAACTTTGGGGATTAATAGACCTATCATCAGAGATGTCCGTGAGCTCTTCAGGGTATAATGCACCTTGAGATATAGTTTCTGATACTTCTAAATATCCAAATATGAAAGCAGATTTATTTTTAAATAAATTTCCCATGTACAGGCATAGATATGAAGGACCCTTGACAATGCAGGAGTATGTGATGGCTACCCCCTGACACTATCTGGTTTTCTTTGTAGATAGCTGTACATGTGGTTGCCACGCTCGCCTGACAGTTGGTACCCAGATTGCAGCAGATATCCGCAGTGCTTTGCAAGAAGAGCTTGGCATCTCATGTTGTGCTGGAATAGCTTGGAATAAACTACTGTCCAAACTTGTGGCTGGTACTCATAAGCCTAACCAGCAAACTGTGCTTTTTCCTGAGCACACATTTGAGTTAATGCTCAGTCTTGAGGCTGTCAGAGCAATCCCAGGTATAACTTTATCTTGTAATAATTGTGCAATTTGAAAAATTAATACAGATCTGTTTCAGTAGCAATTTCTTTATGGATCCACAAAAATGTGTTGTGAAACATACACTGACCTTCCTATGTAATAACATTGTTTTTACTTTTTTCATAAGAAATTTTGTAAGCTTTTAAAAGAAAATACATTGTTAGCATAAATGCACATAGATGGTAAATAACCAAAACCAACAAAGTTACAGTAAAAATAACATGTTTTCTCAAGGTATTGGTCACTCTACTGCAAAGAGACTTGCTTCTCTGGGAATCCAAACTATATCACAGCTTCAAGAAGTAGACCAGTCTGTGTTGACAGGGGAATTTGGAAACAGCATGGCTCAAACGATGAAACTTTTGTCTTGTGGAAGTGACCAGTCCCCTGTTGTTACAACAGGACAGGCTCAAGTATGATATTTGCTTTGTAGAATACATCCTCTGTAAATCACAATTTAGGTACTTGAATATCATTTACATACTGATTATGATTTCATTCAAAATGCAATCAACTGATGTTATTTGAAATTCCCCCTTTAAAGACGTTTATTTTGTTAATAGTTTAAAAGCACAGTCATTCCATTTTAGTCGATCAGCGATGAAGATTCCTTCAGAAAATGCCAGGATGTAGAGGATGTAAAGAATAGAATTGGTGGACTCTTAGACAACTTATTAAAAAGGTATGTATTATATTTAATATGTTTTATACGAATTCAATTGATAATTTGAGACAAGTCATTTGTTGTGGCAAGGAAAGCAATAAATAAAATTATGGGTTTGATTTTGCCGTTTTCTGAATAAAGTTTGGGTTATGCGAATGATATGCTAAGAAAGTTAAATTAATGAATATGTTTAATGAATTTACCCCAATTTTTTAGTATTAGTTTGCTATTACCTAGAAATTTGGTATAATTGTTTGTCTGTAGACAGAGAGGTGTCCACATATACAACAAGATATTTATGCATTAGTTCCAACTCTCTTGAGAAAATGGGAAGAAAGAAGACAATATAATTGTCTTGTGTTCTGGTCCTTTTAAAGTCACTAAATAATCACAATTTTACTGACAACTTTGCTCTCTTACAGACTAGAGGAAGATGGAAGACTACCTGGAATAATACGATTAACCCTCAGAAAATTAGATAAAGAAGGGCAGTGGTCTAAGAGAGAAAGTAGACAATGCAGAGTTCCTAGTCATGTTTTCGCATTAGGTAATAACAAAACTATTGCTTGGTATTGTGTGCTCAGTAATAACAAGACTATCCAGATGAAGATGAAATGAGTATTAAGAAGCGAAATTGTTTAATTATTTCCCTGCATGGAAAAAAGTTTTCTTGTAATAGTCTAGTGGGATTTCCACAAAAGATGAATGGTAGGGGCATTTTGGGGTAAAAGTTGGGAACCAGGCTTATTGGCATAATTTTGGGATGCTGAATCCGATTAACCCGGTTCCCAAGCAAAATTTTGCATTTTTAACGGTCTAATTTGCAAAAAAACAAAATGGCTGCCAGATTTCCTATTTTCTGCAATATCTCTGGAACTAGACAGGCAAATATGACAAATGAAGTGTCTTTACCTATATTTTCAGGGTCGAGGAACATTATTAAGATGTTTCTGTTAAAATTAGATTTACGCAATTTTCCTTAATATGCAAATTAGGATCGCCATTACTGAAAAACTGTTATACTTCTGTATCTCTGCAACTAGGCAATCCAACATGACAAGTGAAGTGTCTATACCTATGTTCTCAGGGTCAGGGAATGTTATAAATCAGATGTCTTGTCTGATGGGTAGCAATGACTTTGTGAATCGTGTCCGAGTAGCACCTTTTATTGTTTCTTCCCCGTATCTGTCAAACACAAATCAATCTGCTGATAGTTAGAACCTGCTTTCAGAAATGCTGTTACATTAACTAGGCAAGCAAACATGACATATGAAGTGCCCACACCTATGTTTTCAGCGTTAGGGATAGTGGTTAAGACATTTTCACTATAATCAAATCAGCAATGAGTGCTACACTGTCATACTGTAGCAATTATTCGAATCTGAATTGAATTTTGCAATTAAATACTGCGCTGCCATTGGGATGTAAACATATTGGATCACACAACTCCCCCTTTTACCTAGATTTAAAAATGATTCCCTTATTAATGCAGTGGAGGGATTTGCTGAATCAAGTAATTCATGTGATGCAATGTTCGGACTTGACATTTAAATGGATTTTTTTCAAACATATTTTCAAAAAAAGATTCCCTTATTAATGCAATGGAGGGATTTGCTGAATCAAGTAATTCATGTGATGCAATGTACGGACTTGACATTTAAATGGATTTTTTTCAAACATATTTTCTTTGATTTTTTCCCATATATTAGTAATGGATGAAAAAACACTTGTTATCATGTTCGATATGGCTTTAATAAATCAACCCGTGTGAATACATCATCAAAAATTTAATTTAAATACGTATTCAAATCAGCGTTTTAAACAGCACATGGATAATTTTATAGCTGATGACAACAAGGTATTAAATACTTATGAATTCGATATTATCAAGAATATCAGTTGGTAAGGATTTTCTCTTACACAACAGAATCATCCAGACAAATGTGAAAAAATGGGAACTGATAAGAACGCGTGCAGCCTCTTCTAGCTGCAACCAGAGCCCTCACTCGGCGAGGGATCCATGCAGAGAGGTTTCTGAGAGTTTGATCCAGTATTGTGTTATACGAATTAGTCAGAGCTTGCCTAAGCTTGTGCCGATTTATAGGCTGGATGGGTAAGCTCTTGATTCTGCTAGCGATTTATGCCCACAGGTTTTCTATAGAATTCATGTCAGGGGAATTCCGTCTGGCAAGGCAACTGGTTTACTTCTTGGTTTTGCAGAAAAGCAGTTATTGCATGGGCATGGTATGGTCAGGCATTGTCATCTTGCAGGATGAAGTTGTCCTGGAAGTACCTTCTTGCAAATTGCAAGCAAGTATTCCCTAAAATGTCCCTTTATTTTATCTGGTTGAGGTTTCCATCAATTGCCACCAATAGTGTTTTGGCTCCAGCGTGGAAACCGGCCCATACACAGATACCACCACGGCAACAAGTCACTGTAGTGTGACACAATCCTCGTGCAGTAACTCGTCTGAAAGCCTACTAACTGGTTCAGCCATCACGGTGGTAGAACTCAAACCCTGCCTCATCTGTAAAAATCTACATGAACCCAGTGCTGTGCCTGGAACCGCAAATGGTGTCTAGTCCACCACAGACGCAGATGTTGGTGTTGCTCTGTTAATAGAGGTAACCAACTAAAAGTAGCCTTGCATTCACTAGAGTTCTAGAAACATGCTTTTGAATGGTAATTTGCCACTCATTTTTTACAGCAAGAGTTGTCTTTGTCCAGTTGTTGCGACATAACCGCAGCAGCAAGCGGTCTTCCCTTCTGGTGGTGACTTTAGGCCATCCTGGCCGTGGTCTCTGTGTTAATGTACCAGTCTGGTCGTGTTTCTGTAAGACGTTAGAAACTGCTCCCTGGGACACATGCAGCTGTCTGGCAATAGCAGTTTGCTTCAGTCCCTTCTGGCATAATGCAACAATAGTGTGGCAAGTTGCTGCTGTTAGTTCACATACCGTAAGGTCAGCTAACAGTCTGCAAAATATCAAACTATTTGACTGGACGTTGCCGAAATATAGAGACTTATTCTGCAGAACTGCTGCCCTTTTATACGCATTCTGTAACCAGCCAAAGAGGACTGCTCAGAGAAACTGCCACATATTACGTAATATAACCGCGCTTCTGAGAAAGCAGCCTAATGAACAATAACCAACACACCTGGCTACACATATACCTGATCACAATTGTCGTATGTGATCAATTTTTTTTAAAAAGTTAATTTATTATGAATACTTTGCTTTTGAACTAAAATATTCCATAATAAATGGCAATATGTATGTGTATACTTTAAGTACACGATGACATCTCACCTCATCCATTTCAGTGATTTTTCCATTAGCTTATTACTGGTTACCCGTTGGTATCGTTTCATTTTAATTAACAAAATTTCTTGAATTTTAACTTTAATCTTCTGATATTCTATTGAATCCAATTAAATGATTGACGATACGGAAAACATTTCTGTGTTTTAACATTAAAATAGCAAGTCTGAGCAGTTCCTCAAGCTTCTAAACGCTTTCGTTGAGACCAAATCTGTAACAGAAAGGTTAACAGAAGACGTATTCTGCCCTGATTAAATTAAACTGAATGACTCCTAACTAAGTGTCGGATTTAGAGGGGGGCTGAAGGGGGCCCTGACCCCCCTTCGAATTCTTGTCCCCCACTTGAAATTATAATTTTGACTAGCTGAATCATAGTTGTAAACCATACCAAATGGTACCGTTCGCCCTCTTAAATACCAAAATTGTTCGTGGCCCTTCAACAGGCCCCTAACCCGTTGCCAAGTGGGGGGGAGGGAGGCTTTGCAACCGCGGACTCCCCCCTTCAAATTATCCTGGATCCGCCTCTGCTCACCTTGCGTTATAACTGATTGGCAAGCACTGGCAGTTTCACTGGGAAAGCCTGACAATGCAGTGACCTTTGGTAGTTGGCTATAATACGCACGTAAGAGCAGTTCTGAAGGCAGGTTCTAACTATCAGCAGATTGGCTAGTGTTTGACAGATACAGGGAAGAAACAATAAAAGGTGCTACTCGGACACGATTCACAAAGTCAGTGCTACCCATCAGACAAGACATCTGATTTATCACATTCCCTGACCCTGAGAACATAGGTGTAGACACTTCATTTGTCATGTTTGCTTACCTAGTTACAGAGATACAGAAGTTAAACGGTTTTTCAGTAATGGCGATCCTAATTTGCATATTTAGGAAAATTGCGTAAATCTAATTTTAACAGAAACATCTTAATAATGTTCCTCGACCCTGAAAATGTAGGTAAAAGCACTTCATTTGTCATATTTGCCTGTCTAGTTCCAAAGATATTGCAGAAAATAGGAAATCTGGCGGCCATTTTGTTTTTTTGCAAATTAGACCGTTAAAAACGCAAAATTTCGCTTGGGAACCGGGTTAATTGGAATCAGCATCCCAAAATTATGCTAATTAGCCTGGTTCCCAACTTTTACCCCAAAATGCCCCTTGCCTCTTATGCAGAGCCTTTTTTCAAAAATCTCACTAGACTACCCCCCCTTTAAATTGCTGGCTTAGTGCCTGCTGTACTTTAGAAAGTGTGGGGGTTGCAGGGTCAAAAATGTTTGTTGCATGCACATGCACTTCAAAGCTTATACCTGCACACTCTAGAGGCTGCCTCAAATTAAATGTCCTTTACACTTTTCAATTTGCTAAAGGTAAAGAGCTAGAACACATATAGACCAGGCTCATAGGCAGGGGGGGTTGAGTATTGGAACAAATTGCCCTTTTAGTTGGGAAAAGGTCCACTATGAACCAAAATTTGATCCAGGTAGTAAGTCATTTTTCAAGTTAGGTGAGTTGCTTGGGGCTTGTCACCTATTTAAAAAAATTAACTTTAAGTCTGCTTATAAAATAAAATGCTTATAATTTATTACAAACAATGCCCAGGTAGCTTTACAAACAACAGTTGTGTAGTGGTCTGTCATCTGCAAAAGGTTTGGATGGAAGTGACCTGAAAGGTTCTCACACAAAGGCTCTATTCCCATAGATTTTAGATCGATCTATCCCCGCGGGGAGTCTCACTAGATCACTTTCAGATAATCCGACTTAAATGTCTGTCCCGCCTACTACAAGCTGTAAGGGGGTAATTAACTTTCGTGTCCGCCCGGCTGACAGCTATTTAGCGTGAACCCCCAGGGAGTTAGGTCGATCTAAAATAGGTCGATCTAATCTATGGAAATGGGGTGAAAGACCCAACATGGTTTTGTACTTGGCATTTCCATCCTACTGTTAAATGTAATCACTACACAATAAATGATGCTGTGAAAGCAATAATGTGGCAGCACTTTTTTGTGAATGAAAACAAATGTATAAAGTATAAATTGTTAATTAAAAAAGGACAACTATAAGTAAACTTAATTTTGTAGCATGTGTATTCCCAATATACATTAGGATTTCATCTTATATCCTCACCTTGGTACAGTGTCTGTATATAAAGACTAAGGGTGCTTTCCCAGAGATTTAGATCAATCTAAAGATTAAGTTTTAGATCGACCTAACTCCCTGGGGGTTCATGCTAAATTGCAGTCAGCCGAGCAGGCACCATAGTTAATTACCCCCTTACAGCTTTTAGTAGGCGGGACAGATGCTTAAGCCGGCCAAGCTGACAGTAATCTAGTGAGACTCCCCACAGGGATAGATCGCTCTAAAAATCTATGGAAATGGGGTGTAAAAGAATCAATTAATGTCTTTAGACTAGAGTATAGTCTTACCTCCATAATGTATGACACATCTTAATAAATCCTGCATAAGCAAGTTCAAATGCTCCTCTGTGAATTGACTCCAGCAGCTGTTTTTTGAAATATTCTCCAATTGAAAGGATCTAAAAATATTAACAAATCAAAAGCACAAAATCAATATTGTTGTAATTCTCAAGTTAAGGTTATATATATAATATCAAAATTTTCCGTGTATCATATTTGTGTCTTTTAATGAACCATGCTGACATTCCATCGTACTAAATTATTACTTTTCAAAATTGAAGTTGTAACCAAATGCATTGAATTAATGGCTGTCATCTAGTATACTGCGATTGAATGGCCTTCTGGTCAAAGTGTCTTCCTCGAGAGTGGGAGGACATGAGTAAGACCCCATTCCCAGAGATTAGATCGATCCAAACTAGATCAACCTAACTCCCTGGAGGTTCACGCTAAATAGCTGTCAGCCGAGCGGGCATGAAAGTTAATTACCCCCTTACAGCTTGTAGTAGGCGGGACGGACATTTAAGCCGGATTATCTGACAGTAATCTAGTGAGACTCCCCACGAGGATAGATCGATCTAAATGTCTGCGAATACGCCCTAAGACCCTGTCCAGGGACAAACATGGACCAGTTCTTCATAAACGGTACCTGCTGTCTCCCCACTTGCCACTCAGTATTTAGAGGTTAAAGCAGGGGTAAAATTCCTGGTCCAGCAGTGAAAGACATTGTCCGTATGCTAGCTTTCATCTCCTCTGATGACAACTGGGCTGTATCCTCTCCCAGGTGGTGAGAACATGTACCAGGGCATCAGGGCTAAATATGACCAGGCGTCACATGTAAACTGCACCGAGACGCATGTGGACAAGAAATGAACTTAACTTTTTTATATTACCTGCTGGAAGCTGAGCAATCCTCCTGCAGCATCTTCTTCTCGTTTTATTGGTGCTGTTTGAGTAAGTTGTCCCAACAATAATGATGCTTCTTTTACACACCTCCAACAGCAAACTACCAAATATTCTGGCATCAATTTAACTGCTATACCCTTTTTGCCCAAGTCGTCTTTATCATCCTCTGTAGTTCCTTCTGTCAACCCAGAACCTGGATACAGATAAAAAGATTAAAAAAAAAAAAAAACACTCGAGTGCAAATGTTTTTTTTTCTATCATAATTGCAGTAAAATATTTACAAATATTCAAAAATAAAAACTCATTTATGATTATATAAACCATATACATGTACTTAGTATATCAAACATAATCTGACCAAAACCAGCATGTACTATGTAAACAAGTTTTAATATTTTTCAAAATTAGGATATTATGCACACTTTGTCTTACATGATTTTCTTTTACACCTATATTATACATTGTATATCTATTCTTTATGTATTATGCCCATTTTCAGACCCTCATTATCATAATTTATGATATTATATATGTTAAACAGGGTGTTTCATAGCAAGGCAAGGTAATGTTTTCTTCATCATATTAGTATTAGTAAAGAGTTTACAAAAAAAAAAAATCAAGTACAAGCAAGAGTATTTTACTTAGAATGTCTTCATCTTCTGGTATATTTCCCTCTGGAGAGGAATGGCTAACCACAGGAAGTACAATGTCAGACACTTTAAAGCACAGGTTTAACAGCTGTTCTAGAAGCTTCTTCCATTTTTCTGGTAAGGCAACGGACCTGAAATATCATTTTTGCACACATTAATGCCACAGGTAAGACTGACATCAAGGGAGATTTAAAAACAGTCTAGGCCAGACTGAGAGTCCAAGTCACAGACATTAAATTATTAAATTATAGATTAATCACTTCTCTAATAAAGCCAATGTATAAGTTATACAATCTGTAGTTAAGAACATCTTTAATGAATTATGATTTGGTTGACAATTGTTTACAATATTAGGAGCAGTTGATGTTGTTGAGCTTGGGTGTCAAAGTGGGTGTTAACATTACATGAGCAGTGTAGAACGGAATATCACATGCATGATAAACAACAGAGAGGGCCAAAACAATACGAGCAAAGGTGGAAATGAAAATTGAAGAACATGGAAGTTAAAGAACAGAAAACCACTCAAAATAAGCCACTCATCGTTCAGGTGCGAAAACTGTTGTTCATTACACTTTTTTCAGGGTTTATTAAGAAAAAGCCTGCTAGTTCCTACCTAAGATCCATGTCATCCAGTAATAACCTCACACAGTGCAACACTGGATACAAAGGACCAGTTGCTGCTGCATGGAGTAGATTCCTCCTAGCTGTCTCAATCTGACGAGAGAGATGAACCAAAAGAATTTCAAGCCACAACTGAAAAGCCCTTTCATATTCTGTCACAAATTTAGCAAAATGACTTTCATTATCGTGCTCTTCAGAGATGAATGATGTTTGGTCAGTGCGGTCTATTTCTAGTGGACATTCACCATCTTTGTCAGCATCCAGTTCAGTGCTGTCATTCTTTTCTTGCTCACTGCCAATACTGGTAAAGGTCTCCAAAAATTGCAAAAGGGTTTTATATATCCCATCTTGTCTAAGCACCAGTTTCATGAGATAAGCTGCTGTGGTACAGTCTTGGGGTTTGGTTGAGTATACAAGCTGCAGACAGGCAGTCAGAATTTCTACTGCTTTTTCCTGATTCTGAAAAGGAAAACTCAACTAGTCATTACGGTAGAACAGTAAACAATCAGAGAGGCAATACTGCCTCCTTGGTATATCCAGTAAAAGGATGATAACACAAAATAACTAACAAGGCTGGAAAGTTGTCAAATGTACAGACAAAAAGCATGAAATTACGATGCCATAATAGGATAGGGTAAATCTTTAAAACTTTCATAACAGGTGTTTTCTGGGGTGAAATTTGATGCTGAACACAAATTTAACAATCATTTCCTTCTAAAACAATTATTGAGGTTGGTAATTTGGCAATTTACAAATTGGCAGCCAAAACTGTAAACAACAATTAAAGGTACTGCAGTTTGTCATATGTCTTTTCTTATGTTTTAAGGGTTGCAGAATCCAGTTCAAACGTTAATACTGTGACTGGTACATTTCAGAGCGTGTTCAGTTACCATATGAAGTGACCATTTACTGCCAAGCTAGACTGATAGGCCATAATCTTGGATAACAGAGGCAATGAACCACTTTAATCATATTGGTCAGTCAAATGAGATGTGATAAGATCTGTCAAAATCTGTTGGATGGGAATTAAAAGGAAGAATCAATTATACTAACCAAAAAGTGAATATTTTAAAATTATTAAGATAGGATGGATGATACACCTTTGCTCACTATCATGAGCTGAGGCCAGCAAAGAAGTTGCCAAGGAAACCTTCAGTGCCGGAATCTCCAAAAATATTTATCCATTCCCATCTTTCAGAAGAGCATTCCCAACAGAAGTATGTTTGATGATAATGCATTCAGGGAACTGATTAAACAGTACCTGTCTGTGAAATGCAAGTATTAAAAGTGACGATATATGAGGCTGAAAAAGTTCTAATCTTGACAAATAACATTTATGATTTAAGCTCTAAATGGTTTGACAGGCCTGATGTGTTGGATGGTGATAGCAATGACACAGTGTTCAAAATATATAAAAAACAAACTTGCACTTATGGGATACATTCAAAATTGACCAAAAATAGTTAACGAAGGTATATGTACATCCATGAAGAGAACATAATAATTGATAAAAGACATTTATGATGAGAACAGACAATACCTGCATTCCCATCTGCTCAGTTGACAGAGAGCTAAGAACCTTTAATGCAGATCTTTTGTTATCTTCAAATGTATCCACCAGGCATTCTAACAGAGTTTGAACTC